ACTTACCCTTTACTCTTGAGAGGTTAAGGATTGTAACACCCAACTTTGGGCTTTTATTTTTCCTCAGTTGGGATTCTAATTCACCTTTTGGGAAATCACAGCTCCTCTGCTGAGACACAGAGAGAAACAAGTTGATTGGAAGCGGTGCGAGAGAGTGGAAACAGGTGGCTGCATGGAGCTCTCGGCTCGGCGATGACTCATCTCAAACCGTTACCACAGACTCCTGGCCACTTGCTCCACCTCGTTCTGCTCTCTCCCCTCTTCCCTCTGGAGCCTCATCGACATGTGGTTTACCGTAATGTGAGGTGTCACTGACTCATTCAGTGGATTTGCAGGAAAATCACCCCTTATTCTCCTCCGGCTCCTATTTCTTCTCTCTTTGTGCTCAGTGTTTTCCAGTCGAGAGGACGTCTAAGGGAGGACTACGTCCAATTTAAGTCTCTGAGCTAAACACAGAACATCTGGATTGGGGAGGGTTATTTTGAGTGCGAATCAGAGCTGGAGAGCCAAAAATATCAAATCATGCTCACATCTGGCAAGTACTGACTGCAGCTGGACACAGAGGCTATTTAACCCGAGCTTATATGGCGTGAACTCAGAGGTAACAGACAATAGGAATTCATGGCATTTGGAAATTCAGGACAAATACGCTCACATAGACTTCTAAGATGATGTTTTTAAACTCTCAAATGTGTTAGCAACAATTTAGGTGTTCCAACAGTAAAAATACCAACTTTACAAGCTGGCACAAAATGTGCATTTATTTTTTTTTCTTTCCCATTTTACGCGTCTGTGTATGTGGGCGAGCTTCTCACACTGAATTCATTCTTGTGAAATCCATTTCCCTGCTTTTCCATCAGAGGACATTCAACTTCAGACATCTTCGGATGTGACGAAGAAGAAAAGCAAAGAAGAATATGAAAATGATCGCGTTCAGGAAGAATAGAAGACATGGTGTCCTTCTGTGTGAACACATTTGAATTTTTGCCATACAACATCATATGTATGGTGGCTGCTGCCATCTCCAGAGCAACAATAAAGCCCAGATGGCTACAAGTCAAACACTGGATGTGGAACAAGAATGTGCTTTTTGGCTCAAATCCTCCTGTTTGTGTAGTCTGCAGTGAAGCAGCTCGAACTTTTAGCGTGGGTTGGGAAAGCTCCCGTTCATTTGTGCCGCTGATTTATAGATTTATTTTGATGTTGTGCATCCTAGCCTGTGTCTGCCTGCCTGCCCACTCCGTCTGTCTGTTTGTTTTTTACATCTGCAGATGTTCTGCAATGAGAGGTCACAGCTGAACAAGGTCTTTGCACTCTCCCCTCGTGTCTCGCTTCCACAATACGGTATTTGGAACCAGACTGTATTGCATTTTAAACTTTGGTGTTCAGGAACAAGGCTTTAATCTGTGAATTTTATTGGTGTCTCACTAGAAAGATAAAATGCAGCAGATTGCTTGGATGCAATAGTTGGGAAACAATATAATGAAACACTACTTTCAAACATTATATTTAAACACTATGATGAACTTTCGCTGTTCTGTATACCCACAACTAACTTAGATCTTAGTCGTCAGGATCAGAAAGCCAAGGGAGAGTGGTGGAAAAGATGAAAAGGATAATTGAAAATGTATGTTGATTACAAACAAAATCATTGCAATATCCAACAGTGAGATTTTTTGTTTTTCTAAAATCATGCATCCTGATTGCTGACTGATTTTTTTTTTCAACATTCTTTGTAAAATAGGTGAAGTTTTTCAGATTGGATGACAAAACTTCCAATCAAAAGCATATTGATGGTCAATATTCTGTGATTTAAAACTATTCTTTCTCACTCTGCATGTTTATGGCCCAAATCTAATTTTGTCTGCAGTCAAATAATTGTTTGCGAAAGGCTCCCAAGCAGAAAGTAGTTCACATGTAAGTCAAAAATTTAGTTTGTTGCTTTTACTGCATATTTGTCCAGGCTTTCTGTGCCATTTACACAGTCTGTGGAAACTTTGAATTTGACTTATTTTGGTTCTCTAAGAACAATAACTTTCTTCCTGAAAGTCTTCCATAAAACAAGGGTTTTGGCTGGAGCATAGGTTTTTGAAAGTTTAAATTGTTTTATATTAGGCCATAATTTATTCCTTCTTTGCTTCTTTTAGGGACTTTTGATTTCTTTTTTTTTTTGTTTATCAGGAACCTCCCAGAACACCAGGCCATTTTTAAAATTTTGTCTCATTTTGTTCTGATTCTGCTTGAATTAAGCTTCAAACATATGCTAAACATGTAAAAGGCAGAGAAGAACTGTAGCTTTCTGAGCAACAACCATGTCAGGGAACGTTTTGCTTTGCACTTCTTTGGCAACACTCAGGGTCTTCTTCTGCGTTTTGGCAACATTGAGTGTTACAAACGCTTACACAATCACCACCTACAAATGCAACATGAGTGTTTTGATTGGAAAGGCTGTGGCAGGAGCAGCAGCAACAGTAGCGTGTTTGGTATATATATATGTGTGTTTTTATATAGGCTATATTTTTATATTTTGTTCAAAATTTAGAAATGAAGAAATCCAGTTTATTTATTAACTTATTGTGTTCATACATGTATTACGAATGCACGTCCTAACCCCAGGTATTCATCATTTTATTTGTACTTGTTCATCTGTTCCCAGTGGCCTGACATTAGAGGCCATTCATCTCTTCTTGTTCCTCCTTCCCTTCCTGTCTCAATCCACAAACATACATGTTTTGTTGGGCATTGCGCTCTCCTTAAGCAGCCCTTTCAACTTCAACCACCAAACATCTCTCTGACGCCCCATGTGGGGTTTAATGGGTCACTTTGCTTATACGTCCTGACACACACACCCATTCACACCTGCAGCAGCAGTGCTGTTGTCGGCCAGGTGCCAGTCAGATGGCTCTCTGCCCAGTAATGACTGGCACAAGCCTCAACATGTGTGCATGGTGAGCCACAGAAGGGCTGTGCTTGTGTCTAAGCAGAGATGTGTGTTTGCGCCTCCTCTTGGCAGAGGACTTATGCCCTACATGCCAGAAATGAGTAAAGCCACTTGAGCTGCTGAATTCAAATGCTTTACATTGCTTACACATCTGATCATGAACATAAGAAACATTACCAGCAGCATGGAGGTGATTATGAGAAGTGATGAGCCTTGGTGTGTATATATATATATATATTTGCATGTCAACCCTGCTGTGTGTATAGCTTAGCAGAGTACAGATCAAGAGTTTACAATGAGTCTGATTTGCCCTCACTGTATGATGGTTGTGCCGACACTGTCGACAAAATCCAGAATGTTTATTTATGGAGCAACTCGACGGTAAGAAAATAATTTCATTGCGTAGAATGAGTTAATTAACCAAAGAAATATTGTGAAGTACTGGGTGTACCACTGAGGAACTCAACAGTTCTGTCTTGACAACCTTCCATCCTGTTTTGGTTTTTCTATGTATATTGGGTGGTTATGGTTAGTAGCTATTTTGTCAAGTTGCCTTTTTGTGATTCTTGTTGTACCTTATAAAACCCTATGCCTTTGAAGACTTGCTAGAGAAGTCATGAGAGTTGTGCTGTCTGATTAACATGTCTTTATGAGTTTGATTAAAGCTTATACTTGTGTTTCCTTGGGCTTGTTGTAAGGACGACTGCTGGACCTTGGAGTGGCTTTCCAGTCCTTGGATATCCAAAGTAAAAGCTTTGTTCACATTTTCACATTATATGCGGAGCGGTAACTGACTTAGGTGCATTTACACTAGCCCTGCTTAGTTCCGTTCTAGTTTATTTGCCTAAAAAGTCAGATTCATTTGGGGAAGTGTGAATGCACAATCAAACTTTTCTGTACTGAACTCTGGTGCAGTTTAAATGCGTGTAAATACTTGGAGGACCAGAGACCACTCCAGAAGCAGGAAGCTGATGATAGCGCAAGGAATTCTGGGTAAATGCAATCAAAGCAAACATGTGAATCTAACACTAGCATTAGCGATGTTTTGTGATCTTTTTCCAAAGACAAAAGAGAAATCCTACAAGCGCTAATACCTGATGCTTCTCTATTTTTGTTCACGAAGAAGGACATAATGCTCAGTGTCTTCCTCTGAGGTCTTTGGGTCATTTCCTTTAGTGGTTCTTGGTGCAGTGCCACCACGTGTGAGGGGAACAGGTTTTTTAAAGGGTGCAGTTCATTTGACACAGTCCAAACAACTGAAAATGTAAATGTTGCAATTTTTTTCCCCGATCTAACTGAGTTTGCTAGACTATCAGATGTGAAAACATCCTTAATTTTGTCATAGTCTTGTAAACGACAAAAAAAGTCTAAATATTTGTGTTACACACATGGAGAAAAGCGCAATGACTTTTGATAAACAACAAAGGAGATCCATTTAAGAGAGTCTCAATGAGAATAGCTGGTGTATGTAAAACAGATGTTGTTTTTGGACTCTAGATTTTCTGGCAGAGGGGGATGTGACTTTGGGGGAATGAAAACGGTAATTATTACTTTGAAACAGGTCATGTTTTGATGGTGTTGTTTCATTATGAAGGGAAATTAGCATAGCTGAGCTGGCCAGCGGGCTGAATGCTTTAATTAGGGAGAGGAAAGAGGATCATTCAGCCAGAGACCGATGCATGCGTTCACATGTGTGTGCGTGTGAGGGGGTTGATCTACTGATCAGCGCTCTTGATGTTTTTTGTTGTTTTTTTGCGATAGATGAAAGCCAGCTCCTACGTCTATGTCACCCGTGGGACTTTTCCAGCCTGTCTCTGGATCTGAACAGAGCAACACGATGGAAAGTGTTTGTGGTTGATTTATTGACTGCATCGTTCGAGAAGGTTACACCCATAATGAGCTCCAGTTAATCAATGAAGCTCATCCCACTTTTTAATATCTGTTTCAGTCATAAAAACGAGTCAAATGACCATTTTTTCTTTTCCAAAGTAGAGATAATCAATTGCCACCCAGCACTGTGCTGTGCAGCTGATCCTGTGTGTGCTCTGTGTGTTTGCAGTTCCAGGGAGCACGTGACCCCGGAGATGAACAAGCTTCGTCAGAGTCTGAGGAGGAAGAAGCCCACCTATGTTCCAGAGGCCAGCAGACCGCATCAGTGGCAGGCTGACGAGGAGGCTGTACGCAAGGGCAAATGTAACTTTGCTGTTCGGGTAGGTTTTGTAGATATTTAATTTATTTCCAGGTATTTTTTTTACATCCCTTTTTTTGGTAGTGTCGAGTATATATTATGATAGATTGCCGTTAATTTGAATGAGAAATAAGGTTTACAGAGTCTTAAGTGGGTGTATTGCATTGATATGCTCCAGGTTTCTGCAAGCTAGCTGTTTTAATAAGGGGTCTTTCAGCTTTTCTGCTCTAATTGTGTCTTCAGGGGGAATCATCATAGTTTCAGAGCTGCAGGTGAATCCTGCCGAAATCCAGATATTGATTTATATTTAATGCACATCATATTTTAAAAAGCTTCTAAAAGCCCCAGTCGTCAGCAGATGGATGTAATAGATCCAAAGCTTGGTTAGCATTTAAACCCAAAGTATAGGTTAAAATGATCCATGGCAAATTTTATGGCTGGATGAATAACCAAGTCATAATTGGGTTTAAGTTATCTGCTGTAGCAGCTTCTCCATTTCCAGCTAAATCTCAAATGTATTAATTGTTGGAAAAGATGAATAGGAAGATTATAAAGGTGTGTATTCCAATAAAATGTAAAAAAAAAATCATTAAAAGGGTTTAAGTTTTTGCTACACTATAAATGTCAACTATGTATTATATATGTGAATTTGAAAATGTCTAACATTGTGCTGGCTGAACCTTCACTAAACCTGAGGCTTGCCATTGTCACACTCTCATATGGGGTCAGCTTTTGATTTCATTGTGTAGGACAGTGGTCTTCAACCACACTTACATGCATATTGTGTTATAACACACAACCTCATACTTCAACTCTTCAGGTGAATACCTCAATAGGAGCAGAAGCAAACAGGAGCGTTATTAAATGGCAGATTTTACGACTGACCTTCCTCAGTGCGTGTGTGTGTGTCGTACGAGAGCTGATTTGTAGACGGACTAAACAGATAGCGACAGAAAAAGATGGAGGGCAGAGCCGGAGCTGTGATAGCAAGGTGGCTCTACAGATTATAGAGACTACAGGAAATTACAGGGAGAATGAAACAGGCACACAGAAGGGACAAAGACACATCCTGGGAATGGAAATTACAAACAGAGGGAGAGACTGGACAAGATAAGAGAGGAGAAATGAAAATATAAATTTGTTAAAGAGCAAAGTTTGAGCTGAGCTTAATTTCCTGAATGGTGAATGCTAGGATGCGGAGGGTTTGCAGCATAAAGCTGGTAGCACAATAATCTTTTATGTTTCGTCAGACATCTTTTTCTTTCTCAGATTCTAAATTTATTCTCAAGTCATGAACTATTAATGCCTCCCTAGGAGCTGCTGAACTCTGCTAAAGGAGAGAAAATAGATTTTCTAAACCCAATCCTGGTTAACCAGACTAGCAAGGAGAGCAAAATGTCTTTTTTTTGTTCCCAAATCTCCCTCGCTTTGACAACCATTAATGTCCAGCTACTTACATCAACCTTCCCATAAAGCACTTTGTTAGCTCAGACATTTAATGTTTTTTATCATTGATCCAGAATTAAGAAAACACACTTTTAATACAACTTTGATAATTCTTCCTTAATCCTATTGCAAATCATTTTCATTCATGACAGGAATCAGGCAGGGAGGGAGTAAAAAAAACACACTGCTGCCAAAACCTAACCAACAGTCAATGAGGCAATGAACCAACAACTCTCATTGGTTTTTCAGTTGTCTTTTATTTTCTTGTTTTTTCTGAGGTTTGTATATATATTTTTTTCATTTTTCACTGCTGGCTGCTCAGTTACCGAACTGCAGCCAAAACGTTCCAGTTTGGTTTCATTGGACTATGACATAATCTGTAAGCGAGCAGTCGGGGGTTTCATTAATAAGAGGCTGCTGTCTTACAACTCTATTTCTTATTCCTGACAACAGCTTATTCCTGACAACAGCTTAAACCTTTTACTGAAATCTGTGAAATGGACTGAAGGGATTTTTCTAAAAGCAAATAGTGAGTAGATAAACTAATTTATGTTATGAATGGGGGAATATCTTTGTGACTATAATTATGTGACCTATATATAATCTTAAATTAACTTTTAACATCCATCATATATTGTTTGCTGTTGGACCAGAACTGCCTTATAGAGTTTTCATAAGGTTCTGCAGAGGTCATTCCAACATGTACAACTTGCATATACATTGACATTTGGTTGAATTAAAATTAATTTCAGTTGGAAAGGGTGAAAGTGTCGCTTGACTGTCATCACCCATGCCTTTTCTGCATCAGTTTGTGACTAAACTTTCTAATTTTCATCACTTGCAGGAAGCAATAAACAAAACTAGAGCAGAAAAGTTGCCCCGAAGGCCTCTGGACTTGGCTGCATGTTTTTCAGCACATGCTTCATTTCAGCAACCAGATTTCTTCAAACTCTGTCCTTAGATATTTTAAAACCTGTCTTCCTCTGACACTTGGCTTCTGACACCAGAACTTTAATTGTGCCCCCATGGGCGCAGAGTGTACCACAGAGCAGAGAACTGGAGAGACAACAAAAGAGGAATACATGCTATAACTGACTTCAGTTCTCCTCTCGCTCTCTCTTCCTGCCCTCATTATCAAGATCCTCATACAGCTGGAAACCCAACAGTGAATGCAGATTTGCTGCTCGTGTGACAATTTCAGAGCAATTACCAAAATACTGATTGGGATTAACGAGGTTTTAGTAGCTTTTTTTTTTTTGGCTAATTTTTATTCTGACATGTCTCTGTCATCCCAGCTCTTTCATGTGATGACATTTCCTCAGGAACAGTAGACATCCTCTCAGGATGTTAATTTTCTGTATGTTTGTGCTGCAGTACCTGGGGCTCGTCGAGGTGGAGGAGTCAAGAGGAATGCATGTTTGTGAGGAGGCCGTAAAAAAGCTGAAAGTTGTAAGTACGCTCTGACATTCAAAACACAGCCTGGCACATTTATTCTGCAACTCCAGTTTGTCGTGCAAAGTTACATATTCACCCCTGAGGAGTTTGATGCTGCTCATACACCTACATGGCCTTCCCAAAGTATTCCCACCCAGTCATCTTTTCCAAATTTTCTTATAGTAGCAAACTCCGGTGTGTTCTATTGGGATTTATAGAGATAGATTGACACAAAGTAGGGCATATTTGTGAAGTGGAAGGCAGAAAAGAAAATTAAAGGTGCCAGAACTGCAATGAAATAGTTGACAAATCATGTTTGTATGTCTGAATGGCAAGGTCAAAGTTCAGATGGAAATTCAATTAGGAATATGTTGTGAGATTTGAGAATAGTTCTCCGTAAATGCTATTCATGCAATCGGGCTAAACTAGAGCTATTTTGCAAAGACAAATTCGTTGAAACTTGCAAAAAAAAGGCTTGCAGCTGTAATTGCAGTGAAAGCTGGTTTTACAAAGTATTGGCTGAGGGCTGCTGAATACAGATGCACACCACACATGAAGCTTGGAGAGTGGGACGTAACCTGGCCCAGTATTTTCCCTTATTGTTGTTTGCTTTACAATACTTCTTTCACTCTCCCCGGAGGGTCTGAGTCCACGTTTATTTGTGTGTGCTTTTATAAAGTCCGATGCTGAAAAAGACAACAGAAAGTGAACTGTAACACAACATGCACACACACATAAATACACAGACACACACTGAGTTTACCCCCCTCCTGGGAGGCTGGACTCAGACAGGGAGCGTGTGAAAACGGTGACACAGAATGGTCGCTGTCAGACAGCAATAGTGGAAAGGCAGCGTACAACAGGAGTCACTTTGTTCAAAATCCATACATGGTTTTTCTCTGTAACCAAAGAACTCAAAGGAACACATTGTAGGAAACAGAGTCACATATGTTCTGTTTTCAGTCATTCGGATTGTTCTTTTCCTTTTGACTGTCCGTTCCACCTCCACATTCATTTCTCCTCCCATTTTCTGCTCTCTCATTGCTTGCCTATGTTCTCCTTTTCCAACCTCGCTCACATCAATCTGATTGTGTTGAAATAGCCGACTCCATGCTGTTCTCTAGATCACCATGTCTCTCACAGTTTCTCCCACTCCATCTCTTGCTTGCATGTTTTATGCTCTTATACATTGATTTGTGCTGTTGAAGAATGTCTAGTTATATAAAATAGTAGCTGGAAAAGTCTTTACTCCGCTCAAACATTTGTACCACCTCACCTACCCCAAGGATGTAGTGATAATTTATGAAGCATTTAGATTAGCTTGCAAGCTTGTTAACAATGAGCTCATGAAGAAGAAATATTTTTTCTTCCATGTTGTCACCATCAAATTCATTTTTTCTTCATTCTCTTTCACCTCTTCTTTGCCTTTGCAGAGTGGCAAAAAGACGGTAAAAGCAGTACTGTGGGTTTCAGCTGATGGACTCAGGGTGGTTGATGACAAAACTAAGGTAAGATGACATTTCTTTGGTCTCTGACCTGAATCTGCTAGTTCCATCGTTCTGTTCTTTCTTTTCATCTTTAAATGCCAGATGAGATGAAAATTTATGTCATTGTCCTTCATGCTAAATGCAATGTGTTGGTGGAAAATTGACCTTGCACATCACCTGAAATGTGCATTCCCCATAGTTGATGTGTTTCTTCAGCAGGGACAGGGAATTAGGTCAGATGGATGGATGGAGTTAATTCTTGCAGAAAAACTAGTTGAAGCTGCAGAAGACATAAAGGTTGACTTTAGCCAGAGCTACACTGGAACAGCATAAAAAGAGTTAGGCCAGAATCTGTGGCAAAATTTGAAAATTGATGCTCACTAATGCAGTGCGGTACAACTCAGCTTAACTGGTCTTGCAAAGTAGAATGAACTGAAATGAATTTTTTTTTAGTAGTGCTGCCAGAGACATACTTGGTCATACTCTAGGTCAAATTATTGACTTAAGTGTCTTTAAGCACCACTGCAAAGCCCCCTTTTTCAGATTTTCATGTGTGAAAACTTGAAATCGTTAAATTTTTCAGAAGGATCTTCCATTGGTTTCTCAAACAATTGTTATTGTAAAACTTTGTTTGTGCATTAAATGTCTGGTAGGAAGCACACAGACACACAAGCACCTGTGTGGGGGCTGTTATTTAGCGAGGGAGGTCTCCAGCAGTGAGTACAGAGAGCAGTGGCTCTATTGAATGCTAAGCGGGATGAAGAGCAGCAGAGAAAGAAAAAAACAAAGCCTGTTGAAGCCACTTCTGTTTCCTTGCTTTACTATTTTTGTTTGGACACCACACACGTTGGCTTCACTTCCCCTACTCCCTCATCGCACTTTTCTGCTTTGGCTCCATCTCCCTCCTTCTTTATCTTTTTCAGCCATATAGCATATCACTTTTAAACTTGATCCGGCTCACGTTGTGTGTCTGCAGAGGCTATTAAATGTTGTGACACTGGAGTTCAGCTCTTGTTTCCTCAAAGTTGGGGACTATATTTCTTCTTGCACTTTGCATTGTTTTCATAATATCTCTCTTTCTATCCAGGCTAAGTGTTGGAATAATCTTAATGTTAAGCAGATAAGTTGCTTGAGACATTTAAAGGATCGGTATGTAAGAGTTACTGCCATCTAGTGAACAAATTGGAGATCACAATCATTTCCAAATAGAGTTTATGATTATGAACTTTTATAATAACAGGGAACCTGACAATTACTAATATATTTAACCTAAAGGTAGTTTGATTAGGTTATACTTAGTTTGAATTAGACTGTAGTGAATTGAATTAAACTGGAGTGAACTGAATCTATAGACGACTTGGACTTGGACTGCAACTGTTTACGACTGTTATTATGAAGTGACATTCAATAAATAATTCACTTAATGCACATCTGCATTAAAAGTGAATTAAAATGGTCAACCTTGCATTATTTTGTAAAAAATAATACATTAAAACTTGCATTAAAAGTGTCAATATTTACAGAATGACACTTTGTGACAACAGCCATAAACTTTCATAAAAACTCCTTCCTCATCATGACAGGCATTGTGTCATGTTTACAACAGTGTCATGTCAGTCTTATGCACACCCCGTCACACAAAGTGCTACCAAAAGATTTTGATGCATAAATGTGAATAATGTTTGTCAATCGAAATTAGATTTACGGTGTCTTTCAGCTTATGCAAATCTTTTAACAGCTTGTGCAAATGAAAATAGAAGTAGACAGTAATTCTTCACACAGTGATAGAGAGAAATGCAGATCAATTTTTACCAATTAATGTATCTTATTAAAAACATGCAGTAACAATCACTACTCATGTTCTCCTCTTCATCTGTTTTTCTCAGTCTGAACTATTTTTTGAAACCTACGTCAAATCAAATATAAAAGCTCATTTATGCATGTGCGTAACACACAACACTTCTGCAGCACCTTTCCAGTGAATCAATACAAAGAAACAGAAACATCATTATTTTTTTGGCTTGTTCAGCAGCATTTTGGACGTCAAGCACTAAGTTATTTCTTGATGGACTGCGGTGCTGTTCCTAACACCACATCAGTTTTTTGTTCTTCTAATATGAATTCTTAGAAAAACATCAGATTGTTTTGGATGATTGCTGAGAAAGAAAGACACACACACGCACGCACACACCCACACACCTACTCACATACACACACACACACACACACACACACACCCACACACCTACTCACATACACACACACACACACACGAAAACATGCTACCACACAAACACTTTCCCCAGCCTTTCACCTTGGTACCAGCATCTCCTTTGATTCACTAATTGGCCCATATTGAATGGACTCCTATTCTTCCACTTCTTTCTCTCCCTATCCCTCCTTCCTTTTTTCCTCTTTTCCAGTCTTCCTTCTCTCTCTCTTTCTACCCTTGCGCTCTACCCTTCTTATTTTCTCGCCGACTCTGAAAGAGAGGAAGGAAGTGTGTGGATGAGTGTGTGAACTCTGCTCCCTTTCTTCTCCTCTTGTTTTCTTTCTCTTTCTGTGTTTGAGTGCGAGTCGAAGCGCTGAGCGGGGGCCCCTTAATGTACACAGAGAAAGACAGGGGCCCTCTCGTAGTTTCATCTACAGTGACTGTAGACTGAAAGCAGCTGAATAGCCCTTTCTGTGAAAGAAGGGCAAGCAGTTGGGACGACCCAAAGATTCAAAGAGGGTCAGTGTCATGACCCTCAGTCGCTGATGGCCTTTTCTGTCATCAGTGAGTTTGCAAATATTCTGCAATGAGAGAGAATGAAGCTTCCTGGAGTTAAGCAAGGGTATAAAGCAGTATGTCAAGTAATTAGGATCAATCAATGGGCAAGTTTGGTCGAGGATTTTCTGTTTCTCTTTCTTCAGGCCTTGTACAATCAAATGAAACAGTGTCTACTGACTGGTTTTCACTGTGGAACGTCCTGTCTGATTCCTGCCACCTCTCTCCTGTCTTTGTCTGACTTCCTCTGTCAGGACCTCATTGTGGACCAGACCATCGAGAAGGTTTCCTTCTGCGCTCCCGACCGGAACTACGACAAAGCCTTCTCCTACATCTGCAGAGATGGAACCACTAGACGGTGGATGTGCCACTGCTTCATGGCCCTGAAAGACTCGGTGAGGCTGCTCAGCGTCAAAAACCTGCAATTTTTCAACCTGCTTTACTTTTCTGTAAATATAAATTCTAGTGATTTTAGACTGCTGCTCCAGTCTATATCATATTTGCGACCAAAAATTGATGGTAACACTCAGGACTTATTGATGCATTAAGCTGACGTGATGAGATGACAACATTGCATCCACAAGATTGGATTTCTTGCAATACTTTTTGAAAACATATATTCACCTTTCATTTTACAAATCAAAGTTTTCATAAATCACAAACTAGGCTTCAGAGCATCTGTAGTCAGTGTTGACTAATACAGCTCTGGTTAAAAAACTATGGTATAAATTCAGCCTAGAAAATTGCCCTGGTTGAAATGTAGGACTATTTTATTTACCAAGACCTTTTGGTTATTCTTTGACTGTATTATATATTTTTCAATATTTTAATCAAGTCATATCAGTTTAAACTAGTCTAAGACATATATTTCATTTTACTTTAGTTGTAGATTTTAATATCTTAATCTGTTTATGTCAAATTTTTGGTGAACAAGGGAGGAAGTCATTGATTCAAAGCATAATTTTAGATTTTTAATACCTTCATGTTCTGAGGTACAAATAACAGTTTCTGTGGATTATTGATTTTCGAGAAAATAATTTCTGCTTCTGATGTTTACAAAATGTTTGCATCTGTATTAGCATCTTTGGATATAGTTGTTTAAAGTGCAAATTAGACAAATTTTAGGGTGGCTGCTTTAATGTTACTACAAAAAGTCACCCAATTTATCTATAATGATGACATCTTAAAGTACAATTGTATTTAAACTGAATGCTGACTTACGTAATTCAAATCTCTTGAGAATCTGTGTTTTTTGTGGGGGGTTTTATAAGCTTTAAATTGTTTGTGGGATTAATAATCTGCATAGAGAAGGACAGAGCACAGACCTGCGGGATTAAAGGAGGGGATTAACCAGAAATCTTTGTGGTTATCTGTCTCTGTCTCTGTTTCCATCACATATTGGTTTTATATCTCTACTCATTCATCTTCAGATAATCTATTTCTTCTGTCTCTGGCGCTTCTTTCTGTAGGCGAAGCTGCTGAGGCGACAGACATTCAGCATTTTTGTGGAGAAAATGCTCTAGAACTGGTTTCTTTGAAATGTCTTTAATTCATGTTTATGTTTGACAACATGAGGGATTTACAGCCTAATCCTAATTACCTTAATTAGACACAAGTAGGAATGCAACCCAGTCTTTTACATCTAAGCTAATTACAAACAAATAAATGCTGTATATTATCTGATGCCAGAAACTGTCAGGCTCTGGAAGCAAGACACAAACATTTTTTACTTCATTAGATTAAATAATCAGAAACAGCTTTAGTGTTTGTTGTTTATTTATTTCAAATAAATAAACAATGGTGATAATGTACACCACAAAATATTGCAAAGTTGTGTCTCAATACAATCAATAACAAATAAATGATCAAGTTTGAGGTCCTTTTTTAAAAATGTTTTTTTTTTGTAAACTTTTAAATAATGTGTTATCTTTTTCCATTAAAATATATATTTCCATTGAGAAAGTTGTAAAAAGAAACCTTCAGATGCAGCGAATGTTCTTTGTAAAGGATGCATGTAAATATGTGAAGCTGTAGTTCAAGGTTTAAATGAGCAACACTGGTCTGCAGGATTAACCAGTGACCTGAGAGAAGAAACTGTTTCTTCCTGTTAATCTGGGAGGAGCCTTAAGGAAATGTCTAAGTACCTCAACTGTGAGATTCTTCACAAGTGAAAAACATTTTAGGCAGCTGCCAATATTTATCAGAGTGAATGATGGAGCCAAATTTCTCCAAAACACTGAGCATAGTTTTTTTTTCCTCAATAATGCAGAGGAGATTCTTCTGATTGGTATGTTTAATAAATTACTTTTTTTTTTTCTTCTAATGTTTTCTGCCAGGGTGAGAGACTGAGCCATGCAGTCGGCTGTGCCTTCGCTGCCTGTCTGGAGAGAAAGCAGCGCAGAGAGAAGGAGTGTGGCGTGACGGCTTCTTTCGATGCCAGTCGCACTTCCTTTGTGCGCGAGGGCTCCTTCCGCATCAATTCATCTTCCAGCCAGCAGGGCAGCAGCAGTGAGCGAGATGAGAAGATGCAGGATAAAAAGAAAGGTAGTAGACCACTCCAAGTCCTAACCACTCACCATGAATTCAAAGTCACTTCAAAATCCTGTCAAATGTACTTATTTAGGAAATATTGCAGGAATGCATGTCCGAGTCTCAGACATCACTGAGTACAGGTCGTTGTTTCCTTCAGATCAGCCCTCTGTCGTCCCAGCTCTCCCTCCTGGCTCCGCCTCGCCACCCGAGGGGACGGCGTCCCAGATGGAGCGTCCAGAACCAGGCGGGCCTCATGCCATCCCTCGCCGTCACGCACCCATCGAACAGCTGGTTCGCCAAGGCTCATTCAGGGGATTTCCAGCTCTCAGTCAGAAGAACTCTCCCTTTAAGAGACAGCTGTCGCTTCGCCTCAATGACCTGCCATCCACTCTGCAGCGCAAAACAGACTTTGAGGTCAAGAACCCTGGTGAGTTGAGACATTTTTGTAGATTGGCTTACAAATGTTGACAAATGTAGACGCCCACTGACATTCTATCCTCAGTAACTTTGGAAACAGAAGATTTGTCACATAAAAATTGATTTTCTTTAAATTAAACTTTTAGATATTTAAAATGCTCCATGACTTCGGCTTCTTGTATCATTATATTATTCCACTTAAGCTGTCTTTGGGTCAGATGTGAGGTACTCCTTGGCCAGGTGGCCAGTCTGTACTGCCCAGTACAGACTGGACAACCAACCATACACAAACACACATGGAGACAATTTAGGAAAAACATGATGGTCGCATCGAACAAAAAGTTTCACTTTACGTTGATTATTTAACAGTTTTTATGACAAAACCCTTTTTTTTTAAACATTTGTGATGCTTGTCCAGTTAGGTTACATTTCAGTATGTATATTATTGGGCAATAAGTATTGATGAGTAATTTTTTATAAAATATCTCCATCATTGAGTCGGTGGAGTAGAAGTTTATTTGTTTGATCAAAAACATCTTTAATCTTGTGTCATGCAGCATTCATTGTACCTCAGAAATAGGAACTTTAAACTTTTTGTTTTCATATATATCTGTTTTTTATGTGCTGGTTGGAATCAAAAGATATGTGTCTGACTCAGTTTCATAACAGCATTGAGGCAATAATGCTCTAGGGTCTCCCCCTAACCTTGATAATCAATAACATGTGGCCTGCTGAATAGAAAGAAACTGACTTTAAAAGGAAAATGGTTTAAAAGAAAGGTTGTAAAAATATAAAGTTACTGTAGCATATTCCTGTGGCCTTTCAGTTTAATCTTGTTTGGCCTTGAATTAATGACATTTGACTCCCCCATTCATTTTAACCATTTATTTATGGTTTCAAATACACACTCAGTGATAGATAATTTGTTAGCAGGTTGCTACAGAGAAAAACTTTTAGCCCATGGTTCACAGTATGTTGTATACAGTGGGGGAGGCTCTGATCGTATATTACCTTCAAAGTGCTCCCCCACACACCCATACTCACTAAAATGGTAGAAGGCAATTAAATTGCTTATTTGCTCCCTTGTGACGCTCCAAACATATTAAGTATTGATCTGTACAGTCAGTCAGCTAACCAAACAACCTAATCAGAAATCTCCCATTGCCAGGGGTATAACAAAACAAACATGCACATTTTCTCTACACCAATACATGTGAAGACTAAAGGAGCCTCTGAACTCTGCAGGCTAAAGAGTTGATTACAAAATGTGACCACTTATATCCTTGCCCTATGTAAAACAAAGCAAGAAGAAAACCTGAAAGGTAGATATGAGGCCAATACCTGTTGGTATTCTCCAATATAATCCAGGCCCTGCAGCTGTACAATTCTCACTGTTTAAACACATTCTGTAGGCGAGAAAAAAGACACCAGGAATGAAAGCACAATTAATATATAGTTCATGCAAATGCATGCATACCCATTAAACCTTTCATTTGTCACATAACGTCCTCTAAGTAATTCTGAAATCAAACTTGTTGGAGGCTGTGAACGATTTTAAACTGGGGTTAGAATTTACTTTTCAGCAGCAAAATGGTGTTTCGACAAAGAAACACTTCTTGTCTCATCTACATGTTTTTCCTTTTGTGCTCTCTGCTTTCTATGTATCCCTTTCCTGCTGGTACCAGAGATGGACATGGGGTTGCCTTGTGAGGGTGACAGTAGTATAAATGCACTGTGTTGCCAGATCAACACATCCTTCGCCAAGCCATCAGACGAGCTCTTCTCCAACCCATCTATGTCTGCAAATTGCCCTCCGACCTGCACTGTGCCCCCAATTTTGCCTCCTCCGCCTGCGCCTGTCCAGGGTAAGAAGGAATCCAGAAGATCAATAGCCATAAATGGATTGTTCCCACTATCTGAAGCTCTTTTTGTTTGTGTTTCCAGCCACCTCATCCTGGGTGCAGCCAGAACCTTCTCGCCACTCTCCTCCTCCAGTTTCTGCTGCACTGCAGAGCGGTCACAAGCGTACACCCTCAGAGGCTGAGAGATGGCTGGAGGAGGTCTCTAAGGCTGTCAAAGCCCAGCAGACGCCTCCCTCTGGGCCCATCATACCCACCATCCCTGGACCCCCTTCAGTAACCAGTCATCATATAGCCACACAGGCGACATTGTCCTCTGCCCCAGTATCTACTGTCCAGTTGCCCCTCGGTACTTTGCCCAAAACTCTCATCTCTGGCCCTTCTGCCCTTCCGTGTCAAACCCAAATGCCTCTCCCACCCATGTCAATATCATCTGTCCCTCTAATACCAGGTCCTCCAGTGTCAGGCCCTCCAATGTCTCTCCCATCCATGTCCATCCCAACTATGTCTGGCCCAAGCATGTCTGGAGCCACCATGATGCAGGGCTCTCTGCCCGGGCACCCAGGCTCCCTTCCAAGTGCAATGCAACCATTCCCCCTTGCTTTTGATGCCACTCCAGCCCCTGTTGGGATGTTTGCCAACCAGCCAGTCCAACCTGCCTTTATGCCCATGCAGACCTACATGCCTGGTCTGGCTAGCAGCATGACTTACCCCAACGCCAGTGTGCCAGTGGTAGGCATCACACCATCACAAATGGTAGCCAATGCCTTTTGCACCGCCACAGGCTCATCAGGCACAGGTCCGACCATGGCCTCGGCTGTTGGAGGGTCTAAAGTGGGGCCCTTGGGCACTGTCGGGCATCACCACTCCTATCCAGGAGCGGCCGGTGCAACCGGACACCCCTCAGGGTTTAACACAGCTACATTTTCCTCCACTCCACCTCTGTCATCAGCCATTAACGGCCTCCCACCCCACAGCAGTGCAGCCGCAATGAACCTCCAAAACGGGACTTCGGTCAGTGGTGGCAGTGGAGAGAGCTGGCCTCCAGAGGGCAGCCAACTAACCGCTCCAGGGGTTAGCGACTCCCAAGACGATGATCGTTTTGAAGCCAAGTGGGCGGCACTGGAGACAAAAGGAGCGACACAACCAACAGGGAGCAAGGCACCGGCTGCCACTGCCAACCCATTCTCCAACAGTCTGCAAAAAACCTTTGAGATTGAGCTCTGAGTTGGACTCTGGCTCTTAAAGATGTAGATCTTGCTCTGGGGTGACAGCCTGAGGAAGATGGGAACCTATTCCAGGAATGTTTGCTTAATTGGTATACAGGTCCTTTCAGATGGCCTAGCATCCAGCCTGTGGCAGCCTTGGAGTCAGTGCCACTATGATCTTAATTTCTTTCTTTATGATCCCATGTGAGATAGAGATGAACTCAGCAGTTGGCTGGGCTGCAGTCTGAGAGAATCAGGTTTCCAGCGGTCTGAACTTCACAAACTGAACCCATTCAGTCCAACCGTCAACATTCTCTCCTTCCTCCTTTTGCTTCTACACTCTGGCTTTATTTTCCCTGCTGCAAGTCCCTAGATTTACTGCATGTTCATCCTACTGAAAGCACTGTGGGGAGGACACGGCTCAGTGGTTTCTTTTTTAAAAAAGAGGACTCATCTTGGATGCATTCCAATCCAAAAAAATATTTTTGGACGTTTGCTTGTTATATTTTTTATTGTGGCAGTTTTATGGTGTCTGGCAACATCGTGGATGAAGGTGTAGAAGATTCAAGTAACACACCGATGCTGATCTCAGCCGAGTGGGGTAGAAGTCTGGATGCCTGAAAGGAAGAGTCCAAACGACTTACTGACTATTAGTACAGATTTATGGCCAAAATTGCTTTATTTATTGTATTCTGAGTTTAACATGTTTTATGTACCTTGAAACCCTTAAGTTGAAGCAGCGTTTCAGAAGCATGTTTATGTTATTTATCCCAACATGTTTGATTTTTAACAACAGAGAAAGGAAAGCACTGTGGGAATCCTAATCATATAACAGGAACCAAATAACTACAACTTCCACTACAGCTGTGTACTGGGATAAGTCAGACTGGTGTATATATCCACATGTTTCTTCCACCTCACTGCTGCTGAGGCCTGATAAATCAAAATGGTGTCACTTGGATGTGGAGCTTGTTACTTTTATAATCGCCCAACAACAAGTGCATGACACACTTCAGGATAACCAGCACATACAGTAGAGCACACAAGCAGTTTGTCTTCACCAAACAAATCCAAGGAACTTTAACAACTCAGTGGAAAAATAATGATCCTCCTCACTGTGCAACTGTAGAGAAACATTGCACTACATTCCAGATTTCACAAATCCTCATATGTCTGCTGACAAAGGGTATACTCTCCTCATGTACAACAATGATTGTGTACTCACCTCTTTGAGTATCATGATAGTGCTGCACTCACTGCAAAAGTATTCCCACCCCCATGAACTTTTTTGTCATGTTGCCTGTGATGGACCAAAACAAAGTAGTGCACATTCCAAGTAGGAAATTTCATCAAAATGTGCCACAGCAAGGAAATTATAAAAGAGCAGTATTCTGTAAACTTTGTTTTTTTTTAGCTTTATATCATGTTATAATGTTACTTCCTAATCAGAAACATAGCTGGAGTATTGCTTTGATTCTTTCATGCATGTTTAAGAAATCCTTGAATCTCCTGAGGCAGCCATTCTTGGTTGCCTTAATGCCTAAACTTCCCACTCAGCTCCTCTAAATTAATGGCAGCAGCAATTATCAACCACCTGGTGGAACTTATTGTTTGCTGAGCTCATCGTACAAACTACTTCTCAGTCCAGCTCTCCTGATAACAGTTGTTAATGGTGAAATAGAGGAGCTTTGTTGGGACGACATCTTGAAAGGAAAGTGAAAGAGTAGGAGCCCAATTTCAAAGCGCCAAATTGTGAAATCAAATGATTTTAAAGTTATCTTAATATATTTACAGCTCTGGAAAAAAAATTAAGAAACCTCTTAAAAATACGTACAGCTTTGTTTGGCATATCACATAAAATCCCAATAAAATACACTGATGTCTATGGTTTGAATGGCACACAATGTGGAAAAGTTCAAAGGGGTTTAAATACTTTTGCAAGGTATTGTTGAACAGATGAACAGAGAACCTGGGACTCAAGAAACAATCATGTTGAATGAATGTAAAACGAAGTGCAGGTTGACACATAAACAGGGACAATAAAGGGCAGAAGCACATGTTGCTACCATGGAGAACGAGCTGTACGTGAGAAACTGAGGGAGGGAAAACAAAGTCGCACCTTTAGGGAATAAGGAAAAGGAAGTCTAATGGAAGAAACGTAGATAAAACAGGTTGAATAGGATGTAAAAGCAAGAGGCAGATTTGGTTTAGGGCTAAGACATATTCATTATTACGTCCACAAAACAAGCAGTGTCTCTGGTGTCTTTGCACTCTGCAGCTTCAAACACTGTGGAGCAACATCTCTGATCAGTTTAAAACTAAATGTCAGCTGTCTGACTGCAATATCATAACTGTTCCTTTTTAATTTTTCAAAAGTGCAACTCGTGATGCAGTTCGAACTTCAACTAAGGAGGTAGAGCTTTGAGTGTCGTAAGGTTGGGTCTCACTGAGAAGATCCAGAATTTAAAAAGCAGGAATGTTTATAATCAAAGGGCTTTCTGCAGGTGGTTTCTCTCTTCTACAAACTCTGATCTGATCAGAGATGCTCCTGCTCCACAAGAGGGAATGCCACTTTTAACATTATCTCCTCCTTGTTGTAATGAACTTAACGACTCTCTTCCTGCGGCTGGCGGCCTGACTTTTTCCATCATCCAAATTGATAGACAGCTGACCTAATTTGTACCATTTTATCTCCTCCCAGGCTTCGGCCAATTTGGTTTAAATCAATATTTCTTCCAATCTGAGCAAACTGCTTTCTCTACCTTCCTTTATGTATTTATTAAGCGAATCTGATTGGTTGATTGATTGATCCATAAAGTAGATGCTTTTAGTCCATTCAGAGATCATTTTTGCCCTTGACTCTTGTTTGCACGCCCTCCAAATTATAAATGTAGGCTAATTGTGTTCTGCGTCAAAGCAAACTAAATGACCTCATCAACTTGATTGTAAAACTTTAGCTTAGTGATGGTAACAAAGCAAACCAGTGGAGTTTATTTTTAATCTTTATTTACAGAAGTTTTTGTATTTAAACCAACATATTTGTATTGTAATTACATTGTACAAAAGATAAATAAAGTAATATAATATTATCCTCGCTTATGTGTCACTGACCCAAACATTACTTATTTTCAATTACCTTTTCTTGCTATTTTTAAGCTTTCATCTGATCTTACTTGTTCCTGAATTGCTTTTTTAACTGGTGTAAAGATTATTGCAGAATAAGCCACAGAAAATCTGTTTAGAATGTAGTACGGTAAGTATTTATTTAATGAATATGTATGTGTTCTCTTAAATCCCTGGGCACTCCCTCATGTGCAGCTAGCCAAAGCCAATCACAACTTGAACTTCTATATTTTCCTGCAACTGTCATTTAATCAAGTATATTCATTCATTCATTTACTCACTAACTGTTCATTGGTCGGAACATCTTTCCATCATCCTGTTTATCTTTGCAGGTGTGTAAAATATCATCTAATTGAAGATGCTAAATATTTTAAATATGCAACTCAAATATTGACAAGTCAGGACCCCATTTCATAAAGCTGTTTCTATAACATGAGCAAAACTGCTTTTAAAGGCGTTTCATGCACACTACAAATGAATATTTATTGTTAAAGATACTACAGATAAGAAAGTCACACTGTTTGACAAAAACACAGATAGAACGAGGATCAGAACTCTGTTTCTTAAGTTAACTTACAACAAATGTTCTCATTTATTAAGTTTTTTTTATTGAAACAGATAAACCCCACATATTCTTCATATGAAAGGCAATAAAATAAAAAATATCCCTGTGAAGAAATAAAAATGTTTTACACAGCATGTCTGCAAACAGTCTTTAAAATAGAGTAAGAAGCATGATCAGCAAATTATTTACATGGATCCATCAACAGTCTGGTGCATTCTAGAAACTGCAAGTGATGACAGGTTGAATCTGTCAACAGCAACTCATTCAGCTCCTTCCTGTGTGCGTTTGGTCTGAACCAGCCCCGACAGTACCTCAATGCACCGCTGTCTTATCGGGTCTTTCCTCCAGTCCGCTTCGGCTGAGTGGTTCTGCTGCAGCAGCTCAGATCGCTAATGAAACCAGACAAGCACCCTTTTCTTCTTTTTCTACTGCACTAACTCTCAGCGGACCGCTGGCCTCTGATCTCAGGTCAGTGAAAGAGTGTGAGCTGCCAAAGTGTAACAAAGGGGGAGGATACAGAGCACTGAATCTTTTTTTTTTAATTATTATTACTTCACCCTTACTCATTCGACAAGCCTTCCAGTAAAATCTTTTCATAGTGTGTCATCATTTAAATGAACTTTGATGGGACTTGTTTTACAATTGTACCTAACTAGCAGCAATCTGTGCCTCCTCAGGCTAGTTTTATTCCTGCATCACTGCAATATGGTCTCAGATTTAAGCAAATACTCCCAGGAATACACCAGAACGATGACAAAGCATGAGGCTGGGATTCAAACCCACAACCTTTTTCAGTTTTGGCACCAACTCTTCCACCATCATTCAAGTTTGTGGCTGCAATCTGACACAACATGCCAAAGTTCAGTAGGTATGAACACTAATGCAAAGCACTCTGTGGGCCTTTGTAGAGGAGAAGAAAAGACCTGGTTGTCATGGTGACACAGTAAAAGATTTATGTCCTAGGAAAAAGTGCTATAATCAACAAAAGCCGCTGCACATTACCACACAATTCATTACAGTGATAACAGCTGAAAATACAAAAGTTCTCCCAGTGGATTTTCAAGGAAAACAGTGTATTTGCTGTGTGTGTGTGTGTGTGTGTGTGTGTGTGTGTGTGTGTGTGTGTGTGTGTGTGTGTGTGTGTGTGTGTGTGTGTGTGTGTGTGTACTGGCGGATAGTGGAGGTGATTTTTGTTGTGCAGTGTGTGTAAACACTCAAGGCGTGTTGTTTTTAAAATGACCAGAACAGAAAGTGAGTGTAATTCTGTCCAGCATGGGTGTATTTTAAATGAAAAGTCTTAGATCCAGTCTCCAAGCTGCTTTTAGTGACCTCTTGCTTCTTTCTGTCTGTGTGAGGGCATCAGCACAAGATCAGTCAGTAATTCTGTTTGCATAATGGACTGTGACTGGATTGTCTGATAAGCAGAAGATAATACAACCATGCTCTTTGCTGATAAACTCACACTGATTTACTGTCACATTTCCCTCAAAAACACTTATTTTGTATGAATTGCAAGACACGAATCAGCATTTGTAGCAACGTCTGTAGGTGATTCTGCACTATTAATGAACACAACCCCTCCCCCATAGTTACATGACCACACAGCTAATTGTAACGCATAAAACCACAGCCATGTGACCCTGCAGTCCTTCAAGCTTGAGAGAAGTAATTACTCTGATTAATTGCATGTGTGAACTATCGATGAGTGCCGCTTGTCTACTGTGTGGTGCACGGCTGGCTGCTGCAGCACAACATGCTCTGCTGTGTAAAAGTATTCAGCACCTCTTGAATTTGTCACATTTTGTCCATTCACAGCTGCAATCTGTGTAGTTTACTGGAGCTTCATGTTTTCCACTCCTTTTTGCAAAATAAATAAATAAATACATTCCAAGCCCATTAAGATTACATAGAGAGCAACCGTGAACATCAATTTTCAAGTCTTGCTTCAGATTCTGATTTGGATTTTTCTCTGGACTTTAACTAGGCCATTCTTACACATGCGCTCTAAGTTAAATTTAACAACAATAATTTGGTGATTTCTAGAGATGTTTCAGTTCATGGTATCAGAGTAAAGGGGGATGAATATGAACATATAAGCACACACAGACACACACTCTTAATGTCTCAAATACACAAAAAATGGTATTTTTACATAAAACACAAGATGAAAAAGAATAAATGTAAACGCATTCATTAAAATAACTGTGCTAGATCCAGCAGACCAATACACAAGAGGCTGGATCCGGTTGAGCTGCCATTCAGAGGGAAAGTCCGCCACCTATTGTTCGGTTGCTGAAATCGGGATTTTCTGATCTTCCAAACCAGAACGAGATCAGTGCTCCTAAAAATAAAGGCTCATTCTTTGAAACATTTTCTGTCTGAATAAATCATTCTCTTTTTTTTTCATTAGGAAATAATTCCCAATTTCCAACAGCAGTCCACATAAATCCACCAACAAAATTCCAGGTTTTCAAAACTTAAACAAAAAAGTGGGGTGACTTTCTTTCTCATGGAACTGGTGTTTCTATAAAGGTGGAAGAAGTTTCACACAGTTCAAAGTACCAGCAAGTTGGAGGTCATTAAAGCATCATATTGAATTCACATCAACTGTGGTTACAAATGAACAGATTAAATTTTTGTATTGTCCTCGCGCAAAATTTAATCTGATGCATCTGCAGCGTCATTGAATGAGACCGGAAACGTTCTCATTGTTAGATAGACATAAAGAACCTCAGCAATGTGGAGTGGACAAATATTTCCAAATGAGTCGGTGCAAAGAAAACAAAGTAATTGTTAAAGGGAGCATAAACTTTTGGAACCAGGTTGCTGCAGAGAAGCGGCTTTTTCTGGCTTCTAACTAGGACGGCTTAGCAGACGGTCTGACAGTCAGGAGCAGGTGGTCTCATGTGAATTTTGCTCCTGTGTGCTGATGTTCATGGGGCGCCATCCTGTGTACAGATAAGGTACTGCACACCAAGATGATGTCTAAAAACAATTGAATGGTGCGTAAAAGTTAGTAAAACAAATTCAACTTTTGCAAGGGTCTGTCTGCTTTCAAGAACGAAATAAAAGTTATGCTTTTAGGAAAAACAACATAAATTTTTACACCTTTTTTAAACTTCTAATTGGATAATGTTTTCTTGTGGCATAATGTGTGTTAAAGGTCATCCAGGTGACCCCTCAAGGTCACCTGGATGCCCTTTTAGGAAAAGACGGCTCTGCAAACCTTAGTCGAAAGTGATTTAGACACACTGCCAAAACGCTTTACAAATACAAGTAAGTCACATACTGAGCTGACTCACAATAATGATTAATGCGGATCATTGTCTGAACATTAACACTTACAGAATGTCACCAGAAGAAAACACAGCTCTAGCTAACACTATAATACATCAGCTGTCTGTTATATAAACAAAGAATATGGTCATTTGAAAAGCTTTATTCTGCCAATATGAGAATCGTACTGGGAGCCAATGCTTCATATACAACTAGTCTGGACTAACAAGCACATGTCCACCTCAGATAATGTCATGAAACATATGAGTTTTAATGTTTTTAAAGCATTTAAAACTGAAATGAAAAATAAGTAATTCAACACAATTTTTTCAGTCACACTGAGAAAATTTGTTTCTTTTCTTTATTTGGTCAATGTTGTTTTATTTCAGATCAAAGTCAAGAGTTTCAATTACCAGAATTGAATAAAAACTGCATTTTATACAGAAAAATAAACTAAAGAAAGAATTTGTGGCAAAGACAAGTGAGAGTTTTTAAACCAAACTTTCAATGTTATTTACATGTGATTAGATGAAACTGCATTTCTGGTTTATTGCAGCTGCATTAGCTTTCAGAGAAGCAAATCTACTCTAATAATCATGGTTTTTAACCCCCTGGAATGTCCAAATGTGCTAACATATTGATTTTATTCTCATTGCTTTCACTATGTATCAAATATAACTGTAAATGATGGTCAAGGCAATTAGTGAAAGAAATCCATAACTAATGATATGTATAATTGAGTAGAAATATACCCATGAAGGCACACGCTGCTGCAGATGAACCTCGTGAACCGCAGGAACACCCCAAACTTTGTTTTTCTACCTCCAAGATTTTCAGTCTCTGCTCTCTGTGCAACGAGAGACCAAAAAGATGCTTCCTATGGCTTGGGAGAATAAAGAAAATTCAAACGACTCCCTTTTACTTTAAATGAACTAGTTAGTAAGTATGAGCAGCCTGCTGCAGGAAGGGAAGAAACAATAATATAAACTATCACTTTAAGAGTTTAAGTTCTGCTGCAACTTAATGAGAACTAAGGAAATAAACATCAGACATGATAAAAACTGTCTTAAAAGTTAAATGTGCAGCTTGTTTTGTTGTCCAGTTCGTCTCAAAGTTGCTTAATGC